TCACTCAATGTAATTGTAGATATCTAACATTGTTTTCATATATGTGATAAAGTCATTTACTAATTATTTTTAAGTTATTAATTTTTTTATTTTTTTAACTTTTGGAATTAAATTGTTACATTTTTAATTTTTGATAATTGGTCTTATAAGTATTTTTTTATTTTAATAGAGAGTTTTTTTGGTACATATTTTAATAGGGAGTTAACAAATTCTATTAGTGAATAAAAAATTAATTAACAAAGGTTAAATATTTGACCATTAGGCAATTAACAGGCAAAGTTCATAGCAAAATGGATGGCATCCAATTAAGTATGACATCTAACAATAAAAGGTAGTAGAGGGATGACATTGAACATTTCCTTAGTAAAGGGATGGTAATGAACATTTTCACAAAGTATGAGGGCTATAGTTGGCTTTAACCCTTTTTAGAAAGGTTGTGAAAATGTAAAAGCAGAAAGCAGCTAGAGTGGACCTGCCAGCCAATGTTTCATTTACGTCTTGTTCTCCACGCTTTGATTGATGTGGCAAGCCTCCCACTAGTCTGAACACCGGGACTAAGTCTTGTGTTCGGACCCACCCCAACCCCTCATGATGGAGATGTTTTAAGTTTCTTAGATAATCCCCAAATTACATGGACTACTACAGTTATCAGTTATTTAAATAGTTTAATTTGTTAAAAAAAAAATTTTAATTTGAATTGTACAATATAAGGATAAAATAAAATAAAAAATAAAAAATAATTACCTTTCATTATACTAGTAAAATAAAAAAAAATATAGACTATTACAGTCACAAATCATGTAAGATGGTATACATTTATAATTATTATATTATTAAATAAATATAATATTTATATTATCAAATAATAAATATATAATATTTTAAATAAAAAATTAATTATATAATTATATGATATTATAAAATTTTAATATCATTTTCAGTTGTGCTTACCAAATTGCAAAGTGCAGATGTTTAGTGCCATAATTCAGGTTATGCCTAGTTGCCTTCAAATGT